CTTTATATCTGTGTATACGACAATAAAGACCATCTTAATAATAAAGTGTGTGTGTGTGTGTGTGTGTGTGTGTGTGCAGGACTTTGTGTTCTACGCCCCTCGTCTGCGCATCAATAAGCGTATCCTGGCCCTGTGTATGGGGAACCACGAGCTGTACATGCGGCGCAGGAAACCCGACACCATCGAGGTGCAGCAGATGAAGGCGCAGGCCAAAGAGGAGAAAAACCACAAGAAGATGGAGAGGTGAGACGCGTAATTATTGTTGTTTTGAGCTACAAACTACTTTACTGATTTATACTAATAAAGCAGCGGTGTAATGATACCGTGTACCATAATCATTTCATACGAGGCTCCCGAGTCGGTCAAACAATATACTCATCACTCTGCGTAATAAAGTCAGCTATTCTTCCTAAAATAGCGCTTATATTACACGAGGCGTAATAAACATCGAAATGACATCAAGCCCACGGTCCTTCCTCAGAACAAGTAACTTCCTCTTTGTCTCCAGTCAGGACAAACCGCCAGGGTTAAAAATAATAACCGAGAGATTTATAGAAATTTACACGACACTGAAATTTTAAATCTGCTTTCATACGTGCATTTGTTCTTGTCCTGTGATATTATATAATATTTATTCATACAAACGTAAAGAAAAATATCATTTTTTTTTTTACTCGTTTCTGTAGGAAAATGAAAAAGAAATGAAGGAAAAAAAGAAACAGAAAGCTCGTGAGTTTAAAGTGTTAATGTTTATTAGAATAAAGAAAGAAGGAAAGGAAGAAAAGCAGAGGAAGAGAAAATGAAAAAGAACGAAGGAAGGAAAGAAAGAGAGAAAGAAAAAAAAAAGAAATACAGAGAAAGTTAAGTGTCATGGAGTCCAGGGAGTCAGATGCAACTGCAGAATTTCTTTAATAACAAAACAACAAAAAACAAGGATCCAAAAACTGGAATGACTGAAACAAGGAACTCGACTAAGGCTAGGCAAAGAAAAGAAAACTCAACCTGAAAACAAACAAACAAACAAACAAACAAACAAACACTCACAGTGCAAATATAACATGAAATACCGGCAACCATACCGACTACACACAAAAACACACACACACGCGTACACACACTGCTCTACAACTGAGGAGAGAAAACAGAGAACTTAAATAGGGAACTAATTGGAGAAACACAAAACAGGTGAGCACAATCAAGGAAGGAAATGGAGCAGACAACAAAAGAAGAAATTTATAAAAATGAGTGAGAGTGCCCTCTGGTGGTCTGGGGAGGAATCGCGCATGCTGGAAAGAATAAAAACAGAGAAAGAAGTAAAGAAAGAAAAATGCTGTGATTATAGCGAGTGTGTGTTATTGTGAGCATGTGTTAGTGTGTGATTATAGTGAGTGTGTGTTAGTGTGAGTGTGCGTTAGTGTGATTATAGCGAGTGTGTGATTATAGCGAGTGTGTGTTAGTGTGTGATCATAGTGAGTGTGTGTTAGTGTGTGATTATAGCGAGTATGTGATTATAGTGTGTAGTAGGACACAAAATATGTGACGTTCCACTGAGTGCGAGTTGAAGCGAGGCGAATTTTAATACAATCGCACTAGCGTTAATTACAAAAGCAATATTTCATCTCGTGTCATGTCTCACTTAAAAAACAAACAGCATCTTAACGAACACATAACATCAACAGCTGTGTATAAGAGTGTATAATGCTGCAGGAGTGTGTGTGTGTGTGTGTGTGTGTGTGGCTGCAGGCTGGTGTATATAAAAGCCTAATTACACTCCTGTGTGTGTTTATATTACTATTGTTTCACGGCTGCATGCCTCACAATGCCTAGAAGGACAATTTTCCATCACATATGTCTGTGTCTCTCTCTTTTTCCTCTCTCTCTCTCTCTCTCTCTCTCTCACACACACACACACACACACACACACACACACACACAGGGCCATGCTGGAGAACGAGAAGAAGAAGAGAGAGCAGGCAGAAAAGGAGAAGGAGAAGATTGAGAAGGAGAAGGAGGAGCTGATGGAGAGACTGAGACAGATCGAAGAGCAGACCAAGAAAGCTCAAGAAGGTCTGTGTGTGTTTATTAATTAATAATTGTGGGCGTGGTTGGAGTGTTTGGGAGTGGGTGTGGTCAGTGTGTGTGTGTGAGAGAGTGGGAGGGGCTGAAGTGGTCGTTGTTTAAGCGGGGCCGGATGGGAGTGGTGCTTTCATGTAAATGTTTTATTTGCGTGTGTGTGTTTGTAGAGCTGGAAGAGCAGACCCGCAGAGCGATGGAGCTGGAGCAGGAGAGGAAGAAAGCACAAGAGGAGGCAGAGCGTCTGGAGAAAGAGAGACGGCTCGCGGAGGAGGCCAAACTCACCTTGCTTCAGCAGTCTGAGAACCAGATGAAGAACCAGGAGCACCTGGTGTGTATATAAACACACACAAACCCATTCCACTTTACTACACGAAATCACATAACATTCACTACAGAAACTGAAAACACCCCTAACGGCCATCACAGTAACCGAACGCGCCCCTAACGGCCATCACAGTAACC